TGTGGGGTGGCGGGAGTCAGCCATGAGAGGGAGTCAGTGTGGGATGGCGGGAGTCAGCTGTAAGAGGCAGTCAGTGTGGGGTGGCGGGAGTCAGCTGTAAGAGGCAGTCAGTGTGGGGTGGCGGGAGTCAGCTGTAAGAGGGAGTCAGTGTGGGGTGGCGGGAGTCAGCTGTAAGAGGGAGTCAGTGTGGTTTGGTGGGAGTCAGCTGTAAGAGGGAGTCAGTGTGGGGTGGTGGGAGTCAGCTGTAAGAGGGAGTGCAGTGGTGGCTGAATGGGACTCAAACAGAGCTATGTCGCCATATTTACTCAGTTCTGCTGTACATCTGATTTATTTGTGCAAACAAAGGGGCAACATTCTTAACCAGTTGTGGTGATGTTCTGTGTGCAGACCTGCATTGTACTAGGACCAGGCATACAGAGGGTGTATGTGCAGAGTGAGGTGGTAACTAACCCTGGACACCTCCTCTTGAGGCCACACAGTGTTATAAAGTGAGACTGACAGCACACACACACATACAGGCTTGGCTTGAAAGGAACTCTGCTCATGCAGGTCAAACCCCACCCCACTGTGTTACAGCATGCTAGGGAGCAAGTAGTGATCTGGAACAAGGGACTGTGAAGTCCTGTAAGGTTCTGCATGATTCCAGCCAAACCTTCAGACAAGGGGGCTGATTTTCACAGCCCTACTGGGTGAAACACACAGCCAGAGCCTGTCATCACACCAACACCCTGTCCAGACTTAGCAGTGTGTAGAAGAGGACTCATGCTAACAGTGCTAATAGTGTGGAGATACCATAGAACATTGAGGTGGCTCAGAGGAGTCATGCCCATATCACAGCAACACTGGGTGGTCAGGTGACTGCCATTTTTATGGGGCGAACTATTGGCCTTACTTAGTACCCTGCTGGGTTTATTTGTGTCTGTTTGGCTTTGTCAGGGCAAAGCTAAAGGGATTTCATAAAAAACACGGCTGACTGCTAGCCAGAATCAGGTCCAGATCCTGCACCTTGACTCTCCGTATCATGGTGGGAAGCCTGTGGCTTTTCCAGGTATTCGTACAAGGGACCGGCAAAGCAATGGCCCTAATATTGTTCAAAACGGAGCCACTCAGTTGTGCGCACATGCTTAGCATCTCTAGAAATGGGAAGGCATTACTGTCCCGGGTCCCAGCCCCAATTTGGGGTGATAAGTTTACATGCACCCTGCAGTGGTAGGATGCTTCCCCTTTAAGAACCTGCCCGCTCAAGATGGCACATGCTCCACTGCACCCCCACAGACATTGTGCTGTGATACTGTAAATATTGAATGGGAACGGTGGCTCTGAGCGCTTCGGTGAGAGCATGTGTGTCAGAAGGCGGTTTCAGGGTCTGACTGACAGCCTGGGAGTTTGTTCTGAGAAAGATAAAGAGACAGAGAACAAATCTGTTTCTGTGTCCTGTTGCCCAGTGAAAACAACAGGGACTGCACCCAGTCATTTGAATCTGAGGGGGGAAAAAAAAACAGAAATTAAAAATGTAAGAGACACCCGACTAGTTAGCCAAGGAAAGCTGGCTCTTGTTTGGATCTAGTGTAATTAATCGAGGCCTTTTGTTTGCACCGGGGTGAGCGAGCGCGTCACACACTGGAAGCCATGATGGATCCCTCCGCCTGTTAACAGTGGCGGCAGTAGATTTGACTGCAATAAAAACGGAACGGCACCCGGCCAAAAATATGGCCTGCTTATTTTATGGAGCAGAAAAGGGGGAAATTAAAATAACCTCTCTCCTAGACGAAAAGGAATTTTGAGGTTCTGCGTTTTCTAATCTGTCAGTACTTTTCATGTTTTTCAATATATGTTATTGTAAGACCCAAAATCAAACAAGAGTGGATTAACATACACTCTGCCCCCTCACCGTCTCCCCCACCCCCAGGCAGGAGAGGTGGCTGATTGAATTGGAACCTTTGCTTATGGTTAACCCCAGCAATGCCCCCCCTGTGGCACATCCATTTTGCTAACATTAGAGCTGCGCTAAGTGATTTAAACTTGCCTGGAGCCCCCCCCCCACACACACACACACACCCCTAGGGCATGCTGGGGGATTAGACACAGTCAGCTACATCTGTGGGAGAAATCAGCTGACACCAGCATCTACTTCTCCTCTCCTTATTCATTAGTGACCCAGCTGTATGTGGCACCTCTTACACAGAAGCTGTCTTTCTCCCTTAAAATGATATTTATTTTTGTTTCCAGATGTGTAACTGCTTCAGTGGGACAGCTATCTGGTGACCGTTCTCCACATGACAGTTTGTAGGGCAGTGGGTCACGCCAGTGATTTAGAACAGAGTTAAGGGCACAATAAAGTATTAAGCTGTATACACTTGAAAATGGCTTTTAAGTGGTAGCTGTTTTGGGATGTTGAGAGTCTGTGATCATCTGCAAGCTTAAACTGCAGGGAAATGCTTTTCTTCTGATTTTCTTGGATTCATTAAGGAGTACTAGCATGGTCTTCCCAGAGATTTTTGCTAAGAGGTTTAACCATAACTAGGCCGTAGATAAAAGCAACAACGCAAGGCCATCTGTCTGCTGGCCTGCAGCAGTCACCTGACCACTTTCTGACATTACTTCGATACAACCATAGCTCATGGCCTTTGCAGTTTCATGAGACATAGCGGGAGTGTTTAGCATTAGCAGTAGCCTAGATGCAAGTATTACAGGGGTGTCAGAACCACCGAGCAGGGATGTGCAGTGCCAGGTTGGGCTCCCATGTCTGCAGGGCTAGCCAGAACTTCATATTGAAATTTACATTTATTGACAAGAGCTTACAATTCCTTTACCTAAGAGTGTGTTTATAACGTGGAGGAGGTCAACCTCTGTGTGGACCACCTTCATGAGTAGATTTGCATGTGTATTAATGACTTCTTCAATCAGCTGCTTCTGGGTTGTTTATAAATAAATGATTCTGCATTTCTGGTATTTTATTCAACTCCTGGATTACCTCTGCCCAACAGCCTTTCAGTTAGCAGTCTTGGCATCTCTGAAGCTCTCTGGCTTCTGTCTGGAATTCCCCAGTGATGTAACTACGGCAGAGTTTTATTTACTCTTTGTCTGTACTGCTGTAAAGACAATGTCCTGCCTGTTTAAACACAACTGCTAACTCATTCCTGAGGCTTTCATATAACCGAGTTTCTCGTTTTTCTTTTTTTCTCACTGGTTATTTTATCTTAATTACAGTAACGCGAACGTTGTATTCCTGACAACTATAGTTAAACGAGATCGTATTACCGCAAAATTTTTACCATCTATTTCCCCCATAGAGCATGGGCGGGTACGGTGGCAAATGCATGGCCCCTTTAAGGCGGTGCAGTACCGCTGGCCTCCTGGGGCCCTGTCGAATGCAGCGACTTGGAATTTTCGGAATGTTTCATGACGTCACCTGACAGTAACCTAGCGTTGACTAAGAGGCGGGAATTTACAAGCGAGAAGTGGCAGGTCTCTCAGCCAATAATATGAGCGTTCTGATATCTGCTCATGACTATTAATGAACGCAAAAAAATGAGGGCCAGGTCGGGGAGGGGTGAGTAGGATGAGAAAGGGGGCGGGGCGTCTCGTACGGGGCGGTGCGGCGCAGAGTGTTTGCGTACGCGAGACGGTGTTTTTGTTGTGCTGATCAGCTGAATGTAGGATTGCAGTTCCAGCTTGACAAGGAAGAGAGGGAAAGCCCTCGACCATCCCCACCTGGCTCCTAGCAGCGCAGCAAGGATCTGTACAACGAGCAAACGACACTACCACATTCCGGAGGAGATGCGGAGTTCTTCCCCTCTGTTGCAGCATGGAATAAATGGCTGCAGCACGCACGGCGCTGTCAGGTAGCTTTGCTGGCTAGTAAAGTTAAAGGCAGCCGCATGCTCTTGTTTTCCGTATTACCTTTAAGAAGGTTTTTATTGCTGTTTTTTTTTGGAGGAAAGGGGAAAATCGCAAGGACGGGGGGTGGAGGTACGTGTCTAAAAGGAAATACGCTATGCCAGAAGTTTCGGCACGCAGTGCTTTTTAATCCGTGTTTGACATCTCAGTTATTGTACGTAGAAACGAGTCGTAACTGCAGTAGTTAAAACCCAGCCGGTGAACCGTAATGTTTGCTTATCCCGAGCGGTGTTTTATGTGGTCGAATTGGACTGTCAATGGTTATAGAGCATACAGAGGTACATTATCTAACATTTTCTATAGCGATCTATTGGGTTAAACGAAATTTTGTTCATTGTATATCCAGATTCTTAGATTATCGTAAAAATGCCCTGGATGCAACTGAAGTTGTCGTTTGTAGTATAAGACATGATTTCTTGAATATATTATGATTTAACGGTTAACGCTGTTAAGGCGAAATTTTTATTTTGGTCAAACGTCTTTTATGAGTCACAAAATGATACGCACACGAAAGCAGCACATATTCCATAAAAATGCATGATTACTGCAAAGGGAATGATTCAGAATAATAATTGCAACGTTGGTATCGCAGTCCACATCCTGCTTCTCCGTAGCCAGCTATAATGGGACCGCAGCCTGGCAATGTGTCTATACAGAATCGGAAAGGGGAAGGGAAAATATGGGGTGCAAATGCCTTATAGTCCATCTCTCTTGGGACATTCGGGCCGTGTCCATTGCTGATAGCCGCTGTCACTTGCAGATACATAGAAATTACATTTGCAAATACAGGACCTAGTTCGTTCTGGCCAGCGGCCAAACGTAGCGTTGGAAGAGCCGTATGATTATGTTTTCCCTAGCGCTCGTTTTTCGGTTTGAGTAAACCGTGTCCGGCATCTTTCAACCGCCCCGGCTTGTAGTATTGCCACTATTTTTACTTGTTAGGCGACGCTTCGTTTTTACTTCTGCGCATTTTCGACAATGCACCCTACGCGTCGTGGAAGAAACATCAACGATGCCTCACCGCTTTAGCCGACCACGACGTGTCCTACAAATAGACTTAACATTTCACAGTGCTGTCGACCGCACGAATCGATAGTCAGACACCCCCAAAATCGGGTCGTATATTGTCTTGGCATCAGAAAATAAAGCGTGAAGCAAAGGGAGTGTGTCAGACTCAATGAAATTGTCAGATGACGGAATAGAATAAGCGCTGCTGCTTAAAGCTCCCCTATCGGGCTGTGGAGTGGGAGGTGCAATGATACTTTATGCGTAGTTGTATGCTTTTGCTTGAATTTACGCTTGTTTGTTGCTCTTGCCCATCGACGAGCGCATAAGATGTATAATGTGAGGCCGCTCCACGGTCCGTATTTAGTACAGCGTGTACAGTGTCTGCGTGCCTGATAGCGCTTACCGCGCTGCCTGCAGTTCCGTGCAGCCGCCGGGACTCAGTTCTCGCGCCAGTGCGAAGGGCATTTCAGGACAGACACGTGCAATTCTACGTCCCCTTTATGAGAAAAGTGTTACAGATCTTGTGTTTCATTTGCACTCGTTTTCTAATCTTTTTTAAAATCATGTCACCTTCGTAATGCTTACAGGGAAATGCCGTTGTAGTGTACTGCATGTAATGTACTGTTGGTACTAATTTAGATGCTTCGTTACACGTGCGGTTTGTCTGGGGTTATGGGGAAGTTTGTGATCACAGTTTTCAAAGCATAAATGATAAGAAAACAGAAATAAAGCAATAGGACTAATGGCAATATAATTCAAGGACTAAACATTGGATTGTCGAATTTAGGTGTCGCCACGGAAAAACATTGATGTTATGTAAAAAAATCTATTATTTTACTGGTCGAAGAGAACGTTTTTCTAAAATCAGTGAAAATACTTGCCCAGAGCCTCCCTTTAAAAAACTGATTGTTTTAACATTTTCAACATTGACAGTGACATTCCCATTCAGAAAATGGGATATGCTGATACTTTTGAAATATCATTATTTATCCTGTATTCTCTGTGATGGATTGACATACCATCCAGGGAGTCACCCACCTTGTGTTCTTTGGGGTCTGGGACTGGCTCCACGTTCACTCTACTGTGTAAGTGGTTAAATGATGGGTGGATATTTATTTCTAAGATCAATATTAAGATGTGCAGAATACTGCACATACCGCTCAAAGAAAGAGAGTTTGAACCAAATTCCAGCTGCTGCACTTCGTCTGGTAGATTTCAAATCCATGCAACGATTCCACAAAGTGTGTTGGGTTGTAACTGGGAAGGTTCTTTTGTTCATAGGTGAGATGTAGCAGGTTCCTATGCACAGTGCACCACTGTCTTTATATGTAATATAATGATTGGAAGTCTTGATTTAGGCATATGCTTTTGAGGGTCGTGATAGTGCAATATGGGTTTATTGTAAATTTATTGCAAATTTAAGTCAGTTAAACGTACTGTGGCCAGGTGGGCTTATGTTAATAGTTATATTAGTAGTTTGCTTCAGCAGGATCAGTCTGTAGCTGATATAATATTATCCATACATTCATTCCTAAACCTTTTATCCAGCACTGGGCTGTGGTGAACCTGGCGTTTATCCCAGGAGATGGGCATGAGGCAGGAATACCTACTACAGAATGCATGTATGCAGTATTTATTTATTTTCGGTTTGTGCCAGATGGTTTTATCTGCTGGAAAATGTTTTAGCTGAAGACATTTTTGGGTAGCCACGTTTGAACATATACTGGTTTAACCATCTGAGTTAATAGCTGTGTCTTTCCCTTCTTGGGACCTCACAAGCAGCTGACACTGGTCAGTGTTGTCACTGAGTCAAGAGTTCATTTCCCTCCTTTTTTCACCATGGTGCAGATGGGGCCTTTGCAAGAGTCAGCAAACGGCCTCCTGTGCCAGGAGACCACGTGGCAAAGAGGGTTTTTTTTTTTACCTGTGGTTCATGTGAGAGGAACCGTCAACTAATATCGAAACAAAGCTGATACCAATGGTATTCCTGGGGTATTTCCTTTCTTTCATTGTGCCAGATCTGGGTCGTAGTGAGTTTGGATCCTATCCTAGGAAGCAGAGGGCACAGAGCAGGGTACACCCTGTACTACATGGCAGTGGATTGCAGGACACACACACACACACACACACACACACACACACACGCATATGCTAAGAGGAATTCAGAGATATCTCTTCACCCTAACCCAGATCTTTTTGGACTGTAGGAGGAAACGTGAGGATATGAGGAGGACATGCAGACACGGGCTAGCAGTCAAACCTGCAGCCCCAGAGCTTCTTTTTAAGACTGATCTGTTTCTTTAGGTGATGCATACATTCAAGAATTATGTGCTTATTGTGATACCTGAATTCAGAATCTTGTTACTTGAGAGAAAACATGGTGTCCAGAGGATCTTGGACGGTGGCTTGGGGAAGGACTTTCTCAAAGTGCCCTTGTCCATCAATTCTCTCCCCCTCAAGTGGATGTGATGAACGAGGCACTTTTTTGAGCTTGTGCCCTCTGCCTTTGCACACAATGTTCAGGCAGTGGTCCAGTCAGACATAACTCCCCTGCTGTGGAAGGCGGGGTGCACCAGATCTCTGGCTGCTTTGGCGTGGCAGGTTGTGCTGGGGGAGCCAGCAAGCAAGGCCGAAAGCCGTAACACAATTACTTTTTATCGAATCAGCACAAACTGGCAGGATGGGCTGACCATTTATGATGCAGGCTGATGCAAGTGGCAGCATCACAGCACATCGAACAGGGGCAATTGGTTTTCTCTAAAATGCTTTTAAATCACAAACCTGATGCTAATGCATGTAATATATGTCTATATATGTAGGCTTTATTTATGGTCTGATTTATGTTAAGAGTGCATTTTTATGGATAAAATCTGGCTCTGAAATAGTATTTCTGGTTCCTTTTTTGTCATATATAGGCTTAGTTTTTAAATTAAATTTTAAACAAGGAAGAGTCTGGGGGGGATAGAGGACTCCTGTGCAAGTACTTCTGTGAAATAAGGCTGAAATTGGCAGGCAGCGGCTGGCTCAGGAGACATCTGAGGTGGCTGAGAGTCTGCGGGAAGCCTGTCAGAACTGCCTTGTGGACAGATCTGGGTTTTGGATGGCGGGCTGCTGCGCCTTTGGCCTGCAGCTGGAGAACTCGAGGCAGCTCTGCTTTTGGCTGCAGAAGCGACGAATCGACTGTGAGGCAGCAAGCGAGCCAGCAAAGGCAATCAGGATTTTACCATAGATTGTTCAGACCTAATTAGTCGGTGAGCCCAAGTTTTCAGGAATTTATGCAGCTGTGCCGAAAGACGTTGTTGTTGTTGTTATTATTATTATTTTTATTTATTACTGATACTATTGAATGACCATCAAATACCCCAACAAGGAAACTGTGAGATTTAACATAGTGGCCAGTCCTTCTGCTTAGCATATGTTTTCTTATATTGGGAGATGAGGCCCCAGAACAACAATAAGACATATGACAGGAGCTGCAGCAAACAGTAGCTAGCAGCATTCAGGGCCTTGTCATTCGATGATGTTGGGAGCTCAGTATATGAGCAGGAGCTAAATGGGTTTGTTTCGCCCTTATGTGTGTGAGTGCCATGTGGATCGATATGGAATCCATTGCGCTGGAGGGACTGATGGGGAGAGGGCAGCAAACATAGCTCTGTTGATTTGGGTTGGGGGCTGTGCTGGTTGTGCAGCCATTTAATTCTGTGGATGGTACTCATTTGAAGGCAGATGTCTGGGTTCAAGAGTTCAGGCCTGGTTGATTGGTTGGAATGGGGAGACAGACAGGCTCTGCTTTCCTGTCCCATATCAATCATATCATGCTTTGGTTGTATGCAAATCAATAACTGTAATATCGTTATGTAACATCAGGTGTCCTTCACCTGGTCCAATAAAGGTTTACAGAAGAATGAATGAGGGTGGGGGGGGGGATGCAGCTTGTGTGAGGATAATTAGCATGTTACGTGGGATCTGGAGGGAGGAGGCACTTAAAGGGGAATTTCAGCCTCATCACGGTGTGGGCTTTGTCTCGTTTGTGAATCTCCCTCCAGAAAAACCCCACTCTTCAT